CAGAAGAGGCTGTCAGATCCCCTGGAACTGGAGTTAGAGACAGTTGTTAGCTGCCATGTGGGTGCTGGCATTCAAACCCAGGTCTTCTGCAAGAACAGTCAGTGTTCTTAACCACTGAGCCATCCCTCCAGACCCTCTGCCATTTTTTAAAAAATTGAGACAGTTTTGCTTGTATAGTTCAAGCTGGCCTATAACTCCTTATGTAGCCCAGGCTGGCCTTCAGCTCAAGACAATTCTCTTGGATCAGCCTCTTAAGTGCTAACTCCACTGACTCACTCCTCAAGGCTGATGTCTTTGGGAACTGCCTACCGGCCCATCCTGGGTTTTGAGACCTCGTGTACAAGGCAGAACCAGGCCACCAACTATAGAACAAACACTTGCTGGGTTGCTGATAACAATGGAGACACCGGCCCATAACAATCCATAACTTCAGGTTAACACAAAGCTAACTTGGAAGCAGCTTGGATTCCCAGACAATAGCCTCAATTCTCTTCCCTTCGAGTGTGTGAACAAAACAAGTGACCATCAAAAGAGAAAACACCTATCCCAGAATCTGGACATCAGTTCGGAGTTTAATCCACACAGAAGGACCACTGAGCTCTCCCACAGCCCCACCTGGGCAGGTACTAGATCCTTCCCATGCCAGCCTTTACAAAAAGTACCATGACTTTCAACTCTCTCTTTTGTTTGTTTGTTGTTTGTTTGTTTTGAGGTAGGGTCTCGAGTAGCTCAAGTTGGGCTCAAACTTGCTATGTAGCCAAGGATGACCTTGAACTTATGATCTTCCTGTCTCTACCTCCTGAGTGATGAAAATATAGTCCTGAGTCACCACACCCAATTTATGCAGTACTGGGGATTGAACCCAGGGCTTTGTGCATGTTAGGAAAGCACCCTACCTACTGAGCTACATCTCCCACCCCATTACCTTGGCAGTCTCTAGGCAGGAGCACAAGCAGAGGTGATAGCTGTGTGATGATGATGGCTGTGGTCTCTGTAGAACTCCTGCTGCCCAAGGGCAACCGTGACAAAAGTACTTATTAATAGGGCATTTAGCCAGAACCCAAGTTTCTTCTTTTTATTCTGCTGTTTCCTATCTTAGTACCTTCAGGGCAACAGAGGTGAGGATGGAAAGGTGGAGTCACCATGCAGTCCTGGTTACTAAGGATGGAGACACCTGGGTCAGGTGACTGTGTTTCCCTGGCCCACCCTCTAATTCTCTACACTCTGACAGATGAGTAAGAAGCAGAATTGTGGGGAAGCGGGCATGGCATAAATTGCAGGCCCTTTGTCTACTTGCAGCCTACCTGTTGGTCAGCAGCCCTATGAACGGGTTGGTGAGGAGCTGGACGGTGGCTTTGGAAGCGAACAACAGCCCAACTTGCACGTTTTCATTCAGGAGGTCTTTGTCTTCACTGGGACAGTCAGAAGGGACAGTGGATGTATTGGTCACCATGTACTCTGTGGTGGTGGTCTTATGTGGCTGCCCCAGCAGGAGGCCTCTGGTGATGTTCCCAGTGACCATAGTAGAGTTGTCATAGTAAGAGAAGATGCTCTGGAAGTTTCCCGAAGTGGAGGCTGTGAGTGCTGGCCTGACTGTCTGGATCTCTGTAGTATTTTTCTCATGCTCAATGCTGTACAGGTAACTGGGAATGATGGGAACTAGGAGGAAGAACAGAGTGAGAAGAAAGGTCACCCCAGAACCCTCCCCAAGATGGGAATCAACAAAGTTAATGGATGTCAAAGGCCAGAGGAGACCCAGAAAGGTGGACCGTGCACTTCGAGGGACAGAACCCTGTGCAGGGGGCACCCTGAAACAGCTTTGCACTGCTTAGTCATGAGAGAAAGAAAAGAGGCTCTGAGGGTTCCACTGTGCCCAAGGATGGCAGCTGTGCCCAAGGGGCTGGCTACAGAGATGTGTGTCATTTGCAGCATTTCTTATCACAGCATTCCTTCACAGAACATGCTAGAAGGGCAAAACGCTGTCTGAAGTCCAGCCAGTGCTGACCTGGGGTCAACAATGCTCCTCTAAGAGGCGCCACAGACATCTAAATGAAGGGAGGAAACAAACATGGAAATTTCATTACGCACCTTGGAAAAAACCAAACCTGCAGGCAGTGATAAATGGGATAATCTCAACAGGCCAACTTCATCGCTCCTACTATGTGAGTTGAAATCTGCAGTTTTCCACCACACTGGGAAGACTCAGGAATTCCTTAGACTTCCACAAAGGAACCAGAACCAACTGCTTGCTATTATAGCCGCTCTGGGCACAGGTGGGACAGAACATGGGAGACAAAAGGCAAAGCAAGGCCCTGTTTCCTGGTGAGCCCCATGGCTCCCGCCCTTCTGAGTTGAAAATTGAGGACAGGATGGTCTCAGAACCTGCAAGTGGTGGGGAAGGAAGTGACCCATCACCGAAGACTAATTGAAAACAATTTTCTATTCATTGAAAATTGGTGCATTGTTAAGAAAAAGCACGTGGACACCTTTCTGTATGTGGGTCAAAGAAGCCTGGATTTAGTCTGAAAAATTCATTTTAGGAAAAAGCAGTGTCCTTATATGTCAGTTGCTCTTAAGGGAGGGATAAGGACTTGTTCATTGAGCCACCACTCGAATTTATGAACCCACCTTTTCGGTACCCTAATAACTTCTCTAAAGGGTGGCAGCAAATGCAAGGCATTGGCTCACCTCGGCAGAAATCCTTTTCATCGCAAAGTGGACAACGGAAGAGGGAAATTATCAGGAGGAAACACAAGTTCTGGGTCTTATCGGATGCTATGGGTTTTGACCTCCAGGAAAGCGAAGCCACAAGTGCAGCTCAGAGCCAGGGGAGGCAGGCTCTAGCTCAAGGTTTGGGGGGTGGGGTGTTTGCAAGGCGCCTTTCTTCAGCTTTCAGACGGGTGGAGCTGCCCTGCTGTGCTGGGGTGAATGGGAACCCAGAAGGGGACCGGGTGCAAAGGATGGGGATCCGGGACCGCGTTCCAGGAATCGAGTTTCAGGGACCGGGTGCCGGGGACCTTGTGTGAGGTACCAAGTAAGGGGGAAATCGGGTTCCTGGGGCGGGGTTCCCGGGACGGGGTTCCCGGGACCGAGTGTAGGGTGCCAGGTGCAGAGAACCGGGCGCAAGGTGCCAGGTTCCGGGTGCGACAGAGTTTCAGGAACCGAGTGCGGGGTACCGGGTGCTAGGGACGCGGTGCCCGTGGCGCGCGGGCCATACGTACCCACGACGGTGAGCAGCATGTTGTCCAGCAGCAGCGCGAGGAACACGATGAAGAGGATGAGCTTCCTCGAGTGGCTGCTGTCCCGCAGCCAGCGCACCAGCGCCAGCTCGCTCAGGGCCATGGCTCCTGCTGGGCTGCGAACGCGGGCGCGGTCAGGGGTCCCGGCAGCCGGAGACGCCCGCACCACTCGGCGCACATGAAGTCACATCCACCGCCCAAGACACCGACGGGTGCCTTACTCGGCTCGAGCATCTGATCCCACTCCCAATAGCGGCAGAGCCGTCGGAGACCCAATCTGCGACCGCCGCGCCCAAAGTCCCCGCGCTGCCTGTGCTCGGGGGTCCCGGGAGCCCGCGCCCTGCTCTGGGGGCTGACCTGGGGGGGAGGGTCCCTGTCCTCTCGGGCCCCTCGTACCTCTGGATCGTCCGCGGGGTCCTCGTGCCGCGCCACCCGGGGCTCAGTCCGTGCGTCCCGGTCGCTCTGGGTCGCCGTCTCCGCCCCAGCGCCCCGCAGCCCTGCTCAGTTTACCGGGTCCGGCTCTGACGTCACTGGCGGCGCGGAGAGGGGGCGGGGGGCTGGGACAACGGCCTCCGCCCACCCCAAGCCACCTCCTGTACCCAGCCTGAGTTACGATTGCGTTTCCACCTCATCCAAACCCTGCGTTCACCCTCGCAGATCCTGGGGACCCGTGCGGGGTCGCGGGAAGGGGGGACGCAGCAGGGCGCAAGAGGACCGGGTCGGTGAAAGAGTCAAGACCAAAGGTGTGCGGGTGCTATAGCTTTCTTGTGTTCCCAGGACTGGCCAGAATTGTTGAAGAGAAATTGTGTGGGGGTTTGAGCCTTGGTATCCATGAAGTGGCCCAAGAGGATATGAATGAAGGCTGGGGGCGTGCCATGGGGAAGCGCAGGGAGCCAGGCGCATCTGCCCTGTGCCCCCTCTGCAGGCTGATCCAGGGTGTCGCTGGGAGTCTACAGCCCTGGGCACCTCAAGTAACAAGGAAACAAAGGAAAAAGACCGAGTGCGAATGACGGCACGTGAGGACCCCGGGGTTTGAATCTAAGTCTCAGAAACTGGAGGGGAATCTGGGGCCACCAGGAGCGCATGTCCAAGGGCAGGAGAGCCCTCCAGGGTGAAGAGGTGAGCCTATGACTCCTTGGTGAAGGGGCTCTCTGTCCTCTGTGCTGTGCCTGGGGTGTGATTGAGATAGTTAAGAGAAGAGAAGCGCCTGCGGCCCTGGACCGACCTGCTCCCTCATTATCTCTGGTTAGGAGTTATTTTCTAGGCCCTTTCTTAAACAGAAGAGAAACACACACACACACACACACACACACACACACACACACACACACCACACGAGCTTTACAGGCCCTTTTCTGGGGTCAGAAGGTGGGAGCTGTATTCTTGGAAAGCCACTTGGCATCAATGTTGCCCTGTCCCAGAAGATGTGACCTTGTTTTATTAATGTCTGCCTGTTATCAGCAGGTGCCTGCTTGGAGCAGCTGTGATATGTGGTCCTGCTCTCCACTCTCTCCTCTTCTCTTTCCTTTAGAGAAGGACCCCCTGTGCTTCCCACAACTATCCTCCCCCTATGATAAAAGATGTGTGGATAGAAAAAGTAGGTCAGTGACACCAGGCTCTGGGAAGTCTCAGGATGTGTGTAACTTAAGTATTAAACGGCGAGGGAAAAGGAAACCCACTCAGGAGGAGAAAGTAGATGGCAGAAAGCTATAGTGGCTGGGGGTTGGGTGAGGATCACATTCAGAGAATGCCCAGGTATGCTGGCACTGGAGATTCAGAAGGCAAAAGCTCTGCCCTGGGTACCACAGGGCCAGTCATAGATGTGTCCCATTAAGCGGATGCCAGGACACCAAACTGCTATTTCCTTGACTGTTGAACTTAGAGAGGTTATGCATGTTTTCTGGGCCTTAATTTCTTCAGCTCTGAAGTGGGGATGGATATCCATTGGACCCCCTGCAGGGTGGTAGTGAAAATTTAGTGGCATGGCATGTGTGGGCAGCTCCCAGTGCAGTGCTGCACATACACACAGAGCACGTTATTTATTCAGAGCATTGAGTGCTGCCTGGTACCAGCACTATGGTGGATGTTGGAGGGGGGCATTGGACCAGAGGAGACCAAGTCCTCTCCTTCAGATGCTTATGTCTAGTAGCTACCTCAAAATGGGAGACACAGGAAACCACACTAAGCTCCAATCCAGCTAGTTGGAGGAATGTGGCTCCATGGAACATGATAGATCCCCAGAACTCGACCTAGATAGGGATTTCAAATTTTTTGATATCCCCCCAAAGTCTTTAAACTTTTTATTTTTAATTTTTATGTGTATGTTTAGCCTGTGTGTGTGTGTAATTGCACCCATGTTGTGCAATACATGCAGAGGCCAGACGGGGCCATCAGCTCCCTGGAACTGGAGTTATAGACAGTTGTTAGCCATCATATGGGTGCTAGGAACCAAACTCAGATCCTCTGTAGAAGCAGCCTCAACCTCTGAGCCATCTCTCCTAAATTTGTCTTACCCATTTTAAGATGGCATCAAAAATTACTTAAATAACAAATTAAAATAATTTGGGATGTATTGTAAATATTAACCTACATATAAAGCTATCATATTGCTTTGTAAAAAATGAATCTGATAGAATATAAATATTGTAAAAATGCAAAACCATCCCATTAGGCTTAAAAAAGCAAACATGTTTCTCTTTAACAGTCAGAATATTTATATTGTGTTCCCTGGTAGTTAGTTTTGTCAGTTTGAATCAATCTAGAATTACTGGGAAAGGGAATCTCAGAGAGGGATTGTCTAGATTAGCTTAACCTGTAGGCATGTCTATGGGGGGTTATCTTATATTAATTGGGGTGGGGTGACTCATCCACTGTGGGTGGCAGGGGATCCTGGACAGGGAGCTGAGCCCTGGTATGCTTCCATTAATTCACTGTTTTGCTCTTAACTGAGCATGTGATAGGACCAGTTGCTTCAAGTTTCTGCTGCCTTGATTTCCCCATAATGATGAATTATCACACAGAATTGTGAGTCAAATAAGACCTCATCCCTTAAGATGCTTTTGTCAGAGTAGTTTATCACAACCACAAGAAGAGAACCTAAAACACGTCCTCTACACCTTCAGAGTGTTCTGATTCTTTTGCCAACTCCGATATTTTTGACATTTAACTTCCTAATTCATCGCCTCATCTATTATGTGAACCAAAACATATGTCAATGCGCTAGCTTTAAAATTGTTTTCTTGGGGCTGGAGAGATGGTTCAGCAGTTAAGAGCACTGACTGCTCTTGCAGAGGACCCGGATTCGATTCCCAGCACCCACATGGCGTCTATGAACCGTCCTTAACTCCAGTTCCAAGAGAATCCGAAGCCCTCCTCTGATGTCCGCAGCATTGCATGATACAGGTGCATTCACATACGTACAGGCAAAACACTCATACACATAAAATAAAAATAATAAATAAAATATTTAAAATTGTTTTTCTTATGACCATAAGGCTCTAAATATCTCAGTTCCCTTAGAGTAGTGTGATTATAATTATTAATAGTTACTGATGATCAAAAACATCCTACATATAATATGAATTTTAATAATTATTATCTCAGTATTCAGGAGGCAGAGGCAAGTGGATCTCTGTGAATTTGAGGCCAGCCTGTTCTACATCATGCATTCCAGGTCAGCCTTAGCTACATAGTGAGACTCTTGTCTCAAAAAAACAAAATAAATAAATATTAAACATGAAAATTGTACTAGAAATGTGTTACTCTAGGTGTGGTGGTGAATACCTGTAATCCTAGCACTTGGAGATGGAAGAAGGAGGATGAAGAGTTCAGGGACAGCCTTTGCCTATAGTGAGACTTTGCGTAAAGAAAAACAACAATAAATTAAATAAATGTGTGTTACTTACTGTGACAGACAGAAAGAGGACTTTTAGAGCCTTGATTAAAGTGACACTAATATTGTCCCTTTGTTTAGTGCCCATGATACTTTTATGGCTCAGGACACTGTGATAGTGAGAAAGTCAGAGTTAGGTGGGTAGAGATAAGCCTTTATTTCATCCAGGGGAGACAGGAAATGGTTGAGAGGGGAGATGATAAAGGGGCATGTGTCTCCATCCAAGTAGAGCTGTCTCAGATGAATTTTAAAATAGAAGACACATGGGAACTGAAGGTCTCCAGTGGTATAGGAAATTTTCATGACCTAGAATTAGAGTTTATTTCCTTTTCTAGTGAAAGGAAGCAACTTAATCGATAAGAGGTTTGTTTTGGCTCATGATTTGATGGGATACAGTCCATCATGACAGCAGGAGCTCATGGCAGCTGCTTGTTCACATGTGCATAGATCAGGAAGCAGCATGTGGACAGGAAGTGGGGCCAAGCTGTAAAACCTCAAGACCTACCCACTAGTGACTTACACAGTCCAGCAAGGCTCCACCTCCTAAAAGTTCCACAAGCTGGAGACCATGTGTTTCCACACATGAGCCTGTGGGGACAGTTCACATTCCAACCACCACAGGGACAAAGTAATCACTGCAGTATTTTCTGTGGAAATGGAGCTGAACTAAATGTGGCTTCCATTACAATACACACATGGGTCCCTCTATATTCAGGGATCCCTTGTGAGGTTTTAGTTAACAGTGGTCAACCATGGTCTGAAAAAAAACTGAATGGAAAATTCCAGAAGCAAGCAATTCATAAGTTTTCAACTGTCTATCATTCTGAGCAGTTTGATAAAATCTCATGCTATGCTACAACATCTAGTCCAGGGCATAAGCCATCCCTTCATCCAGCATGTCCACATGTGCACACACCTGCCTGCTGGTCAGCCACCTGACAGCCATCTCAGTAGTCAGATGGACTGAGGCAGCCTCACAGTATGTGTATTCAAGTGCCACCAGAGATACTGGTGATTCAGATATGTCACAGATAGGAGTTGCCCTTGAGGTGTCAACTCACATCATCAATGAGATATTTTGAGAAGATGTATGATTATTTATCTAAACTGTTCTATTTTGGCATTAGTTAATGTTGTTAATCTCTGTGCTTAATTTGTAAGTTGAACCTTATCATAGATAGACGTGTACAGGAAAAGATAGTATATAGAATGGGTTAGTTTCTTTCATCATTGTGACCAAACACCGGACAGAAGCAACTTAAATGAGGAAGGATGCATTTTGATTTTCACTTAGAGGGGATATGGTCCATCCTGTGGGGAGGACAGGGGAAGGCTGGCTTCATGGCAAGGGGAGCAAGCAGCTAGACTCTTCACCTCTCTGCAGAGCAGGGAACAAGGAGGGGAATACTGGCACTCACCTGGCTTTCTTCTTTTTACGAGTCTGAGCTCCCCAGCCCATGGGATGGTGCCTCTCACATTCAGGATAAGTCTTCCCTCCTCAGTTAAACGTCTCTGAAAGCATCCTCACAGACACACCCAGGGTATATCTTTTAGATGACTCCAAATCCAGTCAGGCTGACAGTGAGGATTAACCATTACAGGGTCCAGTACTCTGTGATACTAGGTATCCACTGGGGATCTTGGGATGTAGCTTTTGCAAGAAGAGGGGTCTCTTGGGAATGAAATGGGGTGCTTGCTAGGAAGTATCTTGGAGCCGGGAGAAGCTATGCACTGGCCTCAAACACTTCTGCGAGCAGTTTAGAAAGTCTTTATTATGAAAGGAAAAGGAGGGAGCAAGTTCTAAA